ATGTGGGGCTCGATCCCAGGACCCTGGGATCATGACCTGAGCCGAAGGCAGACGCTTAACGACTGAGCCACCCAGGTGCCCCTAAAAAATATTTTTAAAGTGCATATAAAGCACAGTGCCTCAAATATATGAAACACTCAGTGAATGGCAGTGATGATGATGATCGTGATGATGATGATGACGGTGATAACTTTAATTTTATTGTTAGTAGCTGTCTTTGTGGGGTGACCAGGTGAGAGAGTAAATGAATCAGCAAGTTGAGGCCCATTGCTGGGTGCCATAGGCTCGCAGTGAGGATGGCTCAGAGCAGGGGCCTTTGGATACAAGCCCCAGTGGTGACAACTGTCACAGGTCACCCTCACTCAGCCAACCAGGCCTGGTGGTCCCAGGCAGGGGAGGGGGGGACTCCTCTGCCTGGCGCCTCTCCCCAGCACTCTACCTCGGAGGCTTGGTTCTCTCCTCTCCCTGACCCTGCTCAGCAGAGCACAGGTGCTGCTTCCAACTTTCCTGGACTACACTGGACAAGTCCCACGGCATGGGGCTCCCTTCCATGCTCTCCAGAAGGCTGTGACCTTCAGCACGGGCGCTGGTTGGCTGGGCGTGGCATGCACGCGAATACGTGAATGTTCACACACGTACATGCACGCATGCTCACATGCCCATTCTCAAGCACATGTGCTCCCCAGCCGAGCTTCTGGGAGCCTCACATCCCTCCCCCCATCTCACCCCCTCCCCTTTCTCCCCCACCACAAAAGCCACAGGTAACAGCAGTCCCCAGCAACACAGAAGACACAATGCAAAACCCAGAGGCAGGCTTCGTTGCCATGCTGTTTTAAGCATCTAGCAGGATGTGAGCCCAGGTGGCTAACGGCAGGGCTGACCAAAGAAAGCTCCCTCCCTCCCCTCCGCCCTGCCCCCAACAGCGGGCTCAATGAACTTGGAAGGGGCTGGGAGGTACGCTAAGGGATTTCACATGGGGCCAAAGGGCAAAATAGCTGGACTGCGAGCCCATTCTGGCCCCGCCACATCCCAACCGAACACTGTGTGTTCTTGGAGAGGTACCCCCGGTCTGGAGCTCAGTTTTGCTATCTGTAAAATGGGGAAAGCAGAGTCACACAAGTTAAACCAGCCCACATAGGTTCAAGCCCATCCGAAGATGCTGGAGGATTCGACAGCATTGTCACCGTAGCTGCACTTTGGAGAGTTAAAAGGGCTACCCACGCGCTGGGAAGTCTGGGATGGTGATTGGGCACTGCTGCTGAAGTTGTTCCCAACTTTGGGTAGGGTCATATTCCAGAATGCTCCCCACATTCCCTCCTCCCCCACGGCCAAATTCCTATGGCTGAACTCCCTGTCCTGTCCATTGGCGTGGAACCCACCCAGGGTTTAGAGGTGATGAGCTCACATGGCGGGCAGGCTGGCGTACGTGCCCCTTTCTGGCTGGCCGTCCTGGTTGCAGAAGCCTCGGCCACCTTCCCTTCCTCTCCCTCCACAGGCTCAGCAGGGAGCCTAGAGGCAGCCCTCGTTCCTTCAGCCTGTGGGTGCAGCCAGGAGGGCCTTGTAGGGCCAGGGGCAAGTTGCGGTGGTCGGAAGCAGCTTCGAGGGTGTGGAAAGACCAAGTCAGGAGCCCGAGGGGGTGGGAAGAGCTCTGACTACTTCCAGCAGGTGGCGATAGGGTGGGGCTCTCCGGGGGGCCATGGCGCCCCTGGGGGTAGGGTACCGCCTCATACTGGTCGTGGCGGGCGGGGCAGTGGTAGGAGGCTCTGCCAGCTAACAGGTTGGGCCTCCTGGGCTCACAGGAGGAAAGGGACTAGCTGGCCCAGGGTGCGGTGTACAGGCCCAGAGGGGGCCAGCCCGGGGCCAAGAAGCCCTGTGTCCCTGGGGCTTAGTCCTGGAGAAGGAAGCTGAGGCAATGGTCTCCGGGCAATGGGCCGGCAGGGGCTGTGGGGGCGCGGGTGGTGCAGGGTGAGGGGAGCCGAGCTCAAGGGCTGGCCGGGGAGTCTGAGCGTCTAGACACTCCAGCCGAGGACGGTAAGAGAGGCGACTGCCCACAGACAGGCCAAGGAGGCCATACGCGGTGCCCCTGCGGGCAGGGGCTCGGTGTGCTCCCACAGCCACTCGAGCTCCTCCAGCAGCTGGCGCTGCCGCAGCTCCGGGCCCACCTTCTCGCGGATGGTCTGGTGATAGTGGTTCAGGTGCTGGAGCTGCCAAGGGAAGGAGGGGTGAGGGCCTCCCCCGGCCAAGCTGCCACGAGGTGAGGTCTTGGTGCCAGCCAGTCCCCGGCGATGGTACTCCGGCTGCCGCCCTGGCGCAGGGGCCCACGGGTACCCACAGATACCCACAGCTCCCCAGCCATCATCAGGCCACAGGCGTATGCCCTGGGGGCTTTTCAGAGGCAGCTCACCACAGTGGCCGTTTAGTGTCACAGTGACACTTCCGTGGGGTGCGTGGGGGACGGGAGCGGAATGAAAGTTGGGCAAGCATCATTATCCCCATTTTACAGAAGAAGGGACTGAGGCTTATATTAGGACTTGAGGTGGCAGAGTCCAGAGACTCAGACTCCCCAGGAGTTCACTACCTGGGGTTGGGCAGGTTGGTCTGACCAGAAAGTTCTAGAAGCTTTGGAGTCTCTGGTGAGGTCAGGGAGGGATGCCCCAGTGTGTGCCTACAAGCCAACAGCGTGGACCTTCCCAGGGGAGCGGAAGTGGCAGAGGGTCTTGGGGTAGGGGGAGCAGAGGCGAGAGAGGCCCAGGGTTGGGAAGAAGGCAGTCAGTGGTTCACGGGCCAAAAGATGGACGGTGCTGAGGGTCACTTACGTGCTCGGGAGACAGCAGGCTGACATCAATGAGGTTCTGGTCATAGGGCACCAAGGACACCACTTCAAAGGTCAGGTAGGACCCTGGGTACTGGGATGCCACAGGAAAGGCGGGAAAGCAGGACAATGAGTGAGGAGAAGGGGCCTGGCTGAAGGGCGGGAGGCAGCGCTCCACTCAGAAGCCACGGGCACAGGGAACTGGCCCTTGTCAAGGCCGAGACTCCAGGTAGGCTGAACGTCCTACAGTCCCCTTGTCCACCCCCACACCCCGGTCTGTCAGTCAGCACCTCACCTTTGGTGCTTATTAGGTCTGTATTTCTCAAAGTGCGTGCATCCATAGCACTGCGGGGGCCTTGTTAAATATGTAGATTCCCGGGTCCACCCCCCGGACCACTGGAGTGAGAACTTCTAGCACAGGGCTGGGAACACACATTTTCATAATTTTAAGATAAGTTATTAGGTTTTTATATCTATCTATCTATCTATCTATCTATCTATCTAATCTATATCTTTATATATCTCTATCCAAATCTCTTTGTATCTCTCGATTGACCTACCCATAGAAATAAGTATAAAGAAGACAAAATAGTCCATAATTCCCGTTTCCCAGGGATCCCTTGCATGGGTGTGCTTAGAAAATTCAAACTACAAAAAGATACACAATAAAAATGGAAAGTCTCCTCCCTGCCCAGGTTCCTTCCTAAAAACATTTAAGACATATACAGTAATTAATCCATTAATTAATTATTTTAATCCACACAAAATGGATCCTACCACATGCTTTTCTGCACCTCTCTCCACCCTGTTAATAGTAAATGTAGGAGAGCGCTGCATATTAGCACAAGAATATCTACCTCACTCTTTTTTAAGGGCTGTGTAACGGTCCATAGTATGCATGATGATTTATTTAATCAGTGGGATACGTAGGCTGTTTCCACTTCTTTTTTTACTGTGACTATTGATGCTACAAAACACATCAATGTATAAAACATCTTGGTGACCTTTTAGGAGTAGATCCAGAAGATGTATCTGGCAGAGGGATTGCTGAGACAAAAGGTATAGGCATTTTATTTTATGTTATTTTTATTTTATTTTTTAAAGATTTTATTTATTTGCGAAAGTGAGTGAGAGAGAGAAGAAGCAGGGGAAGGGGCAGAGGGAGAAGGAGAAGCAGACTCCCCACTGAGTAGGGAGCCCAGATGTGGGGCTTGGGGCTCGATCCCCAGACTCCAGGATCATGACCTGAGCGGAAGGCAGATGCTTAACCAACTGAGCCCCCCAGGTGCCCCAAGGCATTTTGAATAGATATTTTGATAGATATTGTCAAACTGCCCTCTAGAAAGATTGTATCAATTTGTGCTTCCTCCAACAGTGTGTGAGAGGGCCCATTTCCTCATAGATTCACCAGTACTGGGTATCATTAAAATCTCTCATTTTTTGCCAGTCAGATCGGTGAAACACGGTAATCTATTGTTTTGATTTGTGCTTAAGAATAAAGTGGAGCATCTTTGCATGCTTATGGATCATTTGTGTTGATCTTAGAGAGTTGCCTCTTCATGTCCTTTGCCTGTTTTTTTCTGTTTTCCCTATTTTTGTCTTATTGATTTGTAAAAAGCTCATGGGGCAAAAGAAGGAAATGCGTGCTTTCCCTGTTGTATGTGCTCTATTTGTCATACATCTTTTGACTTTGTTTATGGTATTGTTTCCATATAGACAGGTTTTTTTTTAAGATTTTACTTATTTGAGAGAGAGAGAGAGAGCACAAGAGCATGAGCAGGGGGAGGGGCAGGGGAGAAGCAGACTCCCCGCTGAGCAGGGAGCCCAATGCGGGGCTTGATCTCAGGACCCTGGGACCATGACCTGAGCTGAAGGCAGACAGTTAACTGACTGAGCCACCCAGGTGTCCCTCCATATAGACAGTTTTACATTTAATTTATCAATCTTTTTCTTCACAGCTTCTGGGTCTTGCATAGAAAGGCTCATTTCCACCCTGGGATTATAAATGAATTTATATAGATTTTCTTCCAGATCTTTTATGGTTTTACCTTTAAATCTTGATCCATTCAGAATTTTATTTTGGGGTAACAGTAAGGTTCTTCACTTTAATAGCCCCCCAAATGATTAGCCATTTGCCCCCCCACCCATTTATTAAATCTCTCTTGTCTTTACTGTTTTGAAACACCAGCTTTATTATAAATTAAATTCCCATTTTGTTTATAGAAATTAGAGGGGCGCCTGGGTGGCTCAGTCGGTTAAGCATTGCACTCTTGATTTGGGCTCAGGTCATGATCTCAGGGTCGTGAGATTGCCCACGTCAGGTTCTACCCCCAGCATGGAGCCTGCTTAAGATTCTCTCTCTCTCTCTCCCTCTGCCCCACCCCCCCAAGAAAATAATAAATTAGAGGGTGTATTTCTGGATTAGCTGTTCTATTCCACTGTTACATCTATCTCTCCCATCTCTGGTGCCATACTGTTTTGTTACAGTAGCTTCATCATATGTGCTAATATCTGAAAAGGCTAGTTTCCCTTATTGCTCTTCTTTTCCAGAATTTTCCTAGCTACCTAGCTATTTTTGCCTGTTTATTTCTACAAACTTTACTACCATTTTGTGAAGTTACAAAAGCATCCAGTTAGCACTGAAATTGAGGTTGTCTTGAATTTATAGATAAATTTCCAGAGAAATGACATCTCCATAATATTGAGGCTTCTTTGCAGAGAGCACCATTTACTTAAATCTTTTTTTATGTCCCTCAGTAGAGATTTTCTCCATATAAGTCTTTTTAAGTTTTTATGTAGGTATTTTATCCTGTTGGTTGCTATTATAGGGAATCTTCATATCTAATAAGCTCCCCTGGTGATTATTATGGGCATCAAAGACCAATGATTTAGAGCAGGGATACTGATTCATTTGGTCTAGAGTGGGACCTGGGCATTGGCATTAAAACCAAAAAGCTCTTCTGATGATGCTGATACTCTAATGTGCAAACAGGCTTGAGAAACTCTGAGTTATGGAATTTTTCTGGAGCAGAGGAAAACTCCAAATCAATTCACGTCTGCCTATTAAATGCCCTTCTCCTTGGACCTTCCTCATACCCCATACAGCCCAAAGTCACCGCCATGCTGTCTACAGCTCTAGCCTGTCCCAGCAGCACTTTACCTTGGTCTTTGCTTCTACCACAAGGGCCACATCTTCAAGACGTATCCCGAATTCTCCTTCCTGATAGTAACCAGGTTCTAGGAGACACAGAGATGCTGGTGGTATTAAGCAGGAGGAGGACCCAAGCCCGTTGTTTCCTGTACCAGTTGAGGAGTGGCTGGAGGCCCAGCTGCCTGGCTGCCCCAGGCTTGGGCAGACCCACCACTGACCATGGGGGAGGCCAGGCCTTGTGGCCCAGCAGGGAAGACATAAAGGCTCACTTGGATCCTGGAGGCACTCCCATCTCCTGGTGTGCTACTATCTTGTTACCCCAGCGTTTGACTGGAGACTCCAGAGTTTGGATGTACAGCCAGGAACCAACTCCCACAGGCAAAATGAGGGTTTGAGCCGAAGGGTTTTAGGATTAGGGTGGGACAATGCATTTGGGGCTGGGAGTGCTGGAGCCCAGGGGGCCTGTGCCTGGCATGCTCCCTGAAGGCTGGTGCTCCCTACACTGCAGTCCTGGGCTGGTCTTAGGGTGGGGAGGGGGGTAGAAGAGCCCAAGAGCCATACCGATGGAAGTGAACATGCCCTTGGCCATGGGGATATTGCCAGACTGGAATCCCACTGGCCCTGGAAAAAGAGATGTAGGCATGGTGTCAACTCTCCCATACTCACCAGCTTGGAAACTAGCAGGCTCTGGGGAGAGGCAGGTAACTGGGGGAACCCTGGGGCATCTCTAGCAGCACTTGTCCACCACATCATTGTCTACCTGGGGCTGGTATGGAGACCCGATTGGCTCTGCTTTTGTCTATGCCAGCCAACCGCTAGGCCTTGACCTGCCACTCTTCCCTCTGAGGCCCTCCCTGATGCCAAGCAGGCAGCAGGAAGGGCCAGGTGCTACCATTTCTCACTTACCTTGTGGAACATCACCTCCCACAAGCTGGGTAACCCTGGATGGGTCACTTTATCTCTGTGGGTCTTAGTCATTTCCATACCTGTGAAATGCTCTACCTCCTTCGTAAGAGGGGGGACCCCAGGGAAGTGTAGAAGAGACACCTACACTCGTGCACACCCAGGAAGTTGCCAATGCCATGGCCTGTCCCGTGACCATAATTGAGCCCAACATCCCACAAGGCTCTGCGGGCAAAGATCTCCATCATTCTCCCTGGAAGAGAGATGGGCCTAATCAGTCGGCTGGACCCCAGACAGTCTGCTTTGCCCCTTCCTGCTCTCTTCTTCCAGAGCCAACTACCAAGATGGTACCTGTGGAGAGTCGCTCCTGAGAGGCAGGTTAGCAAGCACTTTTTCTAGCACATTCTACATCGTGCCTACATTACCTGCACTGATGACTCTACTATAGTTTCTCCCCATCTATCAGGATCCCTGCTTCCCCCAGAAATCCTCCCATGACTGCTATAACCCACAGTGACCTCCCCCTCCCCAGTGAGCTATAGTATTAGATTAGGAGGCAGGAGGCCTGGGTTCAAGGCTTGGCTCTCCCAGTGACCCCTCTGTGTGACCTTGGACAAGTTGCTTTCACTCTCTGGGCTGGATTTTCTCATCTATATAATGGATGGGATGATGATATAATCCCTGCCCCACTAGCCTCCCAGGGTGGCTGTCTGGGTCCAGTGAAATCAGGGCCTGAGTCTCTGGGTCCAGCCTGGCTTCTAAAACCCACCTGATGTACGAGCAGGAAAGACGAGTCTGGACAGATCGATATTTCCTATCAACACGCGGGTATATGCCTCCTGATGGGGAGAGGGAGAGGTAACATGCTGCGTAAGAGGAGGATCTTGGGAGTTTCCAGCTCCCAGGCCTACAGGGGGGCTGTGTTGGGGGGTAGGTGCATGGTCATGTGTGGTCATCCAGGTTCTGGAAAATGGTCAGAGGCAGCTGAGGGGTACCTGTTGAAAGCTGGAGTTTGGTCCCTGTGATTCTCTTTGGCTCGTCCACAAGGGATGCTTATATATGGTGGTGGGCTGAGGCCTGACAGAAGGGAGTTGGGAGGCAAACTCCCTGAGCTAGAATCCTGACTTGGCCACTCACAAACTCTGAGACCTTGGGTAAGCAACTTTAACCGCTCTGTGCCTCAGTTTCCTCATTTGTAATGGAATTCTCACAGTACCAGCTCATAAGGCTGTTGGGAGGAGTAGGTAGATTCATGCACATAAGGTGCTTCAAACAGAGTAAATGTTCAAATAGAGGTCAGCGCCCTTATTACTGTTACGATCATCCTTCCGTTTTCTTAAGGCCTTATGTTTGGGTTGGGGCCTCATAATCTGGCAGGTCAGCCTTGCTTACTTGGGCTGGTTCACCTTGTGGATAAAGGGAGGGAGGTGGGCTGACAGTGACCTCTTCACTCCTTGTGGCAATGTGGTCAGTCCCTTTCATCACACACACACACACACACACACACACAGGCTTGTCATCCTGTGCAGGACAGCCTGGAGACTCAACCCACTAAATTGTGAGTTCCTCGAGGCCTGGCCAGCTTTTGTTTTTTCTCTCTTTCCAGCACCACGTCTGAGCCACAGTCTGCTTGCTGAATGCACGAATGCGGCCCCCTGCTCCTCACCCACCCAGAGGCCCCTGGTGCACACAGAGGATGTCCCAGCCTCAGCGCCAGGTGGACCAGCCCTCGCTGCTTTCTGAAAACCTCCAGCATCTTTCCACCTCCACGTCTGAGCCTGCCTGTGCTGTTTCTCTCTGCCCGGAACGCCTGTTTCCCTCCTTCCTGCTGCGCACAGGGCTAGGTACGCAGACAGCAGCAAGTATTTGTTCACTGATTTACTGAAATGGGATGATGAAGAGCTTCAGCTGAGCCCTGCTGGAGGGCTGAAAGATCTCTGGGGAAGTAGCCAGGAGCATTGGGTTTTCTGGTTCTAACTTGCTGTGTGACTCCGCGCAAACTACTTAACCTCTCTGGGCCTCCGTTTTAGCCTCTGTAAAATGAAAGGCTCTTGCTGGAGTGATTGCTTGGATGTCCCTTGGCTAAAGGTGGGTAGGGGAATTCTGGGTCCAATGCTTACCTTTTGGAAAGCAGAGGGGGTACCCCAGTGGACTGTTCTGGTGATGTCTGTGGTTCCATCCCTGCGGGCAAGGAAAATCAACATATACAGCTCTGCTGAATACTTGGGGGTTGGGATTGTGGCTGTGTGCTTCCCGTGTGCTTTCCACTGGGGTTCGAGTGGCAGGAGTGGGGTGGGGGTGAGGTGGGTTAGGGGTAAAGGAAGAACATAGATGCTACCATCAAGTTCCCATCTTCCGCATCTGTGCATAAAGGGACTCTGCAAAGCTATTAAGTTCAAAATCGCTGTACTGTCTGACAATCCTGATCCCCCACATGCATACTCCACCCCCATACCACTTATTTTGGCTGTTTTATAAATCTGAGTTTCTTGGGTCAGCCTGGCTTTCAAAGCAAAGTTTCTTCCAGGCTTTCAGGGAGGCAGGAGGGAGGGGAACGTCCCATTTTTACCAGTGGAGAAACTGAGGTTCAGAGAGATCATCACACTCTTACACATTCATATATTTACCATTTCTAGAACACTTTTGCAGCTCCCTGGGAAGGGTAGCAGAAGAGGCCACATTATCCTCATTTCCCAGATGAGGCAATTGAGGCCATGAGCCATCTCCCTTTCTGAGCCTCAGTGAAGCCAGGCCTGGAGCAAACAATGACTCTCCCCACAGTCCTCTCCTTGTAAACATGGATCTGACCCAAGGACTTGCTCAGAGTCCTAGGGAACTGAAGCCAGAAGCCAGAAAGTCTGACTCCCAACCACCAGCGGCAGCTGTGCCCCCAGATGGCCCCTGTGGCCACCACCAGGGAGGGGGAGGGGAGAAATGGTCCCAGGGCCCTGGGGATTCCCCCCTGGGAACAGGTCACAGGGCGTGGCAGACTTCTTAAAGAAGGAGAGAAGAGGAAGTGAGGTGACCATTTCCCCGGCCTCACCCTGCCCAGAGCGTGCCCCAATCCAGCAATGCCCCACAAATCTACTTCCTCTTTGCACACTGGCCATCTCAAGTACGCAGTACGCACAACGCCAGACTGCAGAGGCTGCTAGGCTAAGCTCTCGCGTTAGCTCCCAGAGCTGCGCTCCGAACAAGTGAAGAGCCCTTGTCATTAGCACATTGACCATCTCCGCGGGATAGAGAAGGGGAACCGGTTTGAAAGGACTCCTTGCTCCTCCATCAGTTCAGCACACCCCTTCCTCCCCCTACCAGCCCCGCCCAAGCTTTCCGCAGTCCACTTGCTTCCTAGCTGAGAAGGGGAAAAAGAGAATCTACTGGCTCATCTCATCTCAACTTCTGTGTGAACCATTGGTCACACATTTGGAAAAATTGGGGTTAGCCTATTCTGCATGGCTGTCCTGTCTAGGTGTTCAGACTGTGCACTGTACAAGGGTAGCACAGGCACTTCGTGGTTATATAGGAATGCCAATGAGGGCACACGGGTGCACACATAGATCGTGGGGTCTCGGAGCAGGGGGAGAGGGCCCTCCTACATAACCCGGCATGGTCACGCACACACTCACGCATATCTACTCACAGACGCACGCCCGTGCGGCTAGGTGTGCCCTGTTCCGGCTGGGCTCCAGGCATCCCCTGAGACTGCTTGCTGCTCTCAGAGGCCTGATCTTGCCCCCCCCACCCCAAGCCGACGTGGTCACCTGGTCTGTGCAGTGCGAGGAGAACGCCTGCTGCTGGTGGTGTGGGGACCATGTCCGGGGTGCGTGTGAGTAGGTGAGAATGTGCATGCGGCCCCTGTGGGGCCAGGCAGGGCTGCTAAGCATGGCCGCTCGGACTGTGTCATGATATGCGGGCTCCAAGAACATTTTACTTGAGCAAGGAGAGGTGTTTCCTGATTCACACAGAGCTGCTGCACGGGCAGCCCCACCGTTTTGGCTTCCGTGTGTTTCCCACTGCGCAGGGGTCCCCGGGTGCGCAAATGGGAACAATGCTCAGGCTCATTCCACCAGGGCTCTCCGTTCTCAGACAGAGGATTCACACCCAGGAAGGGGAGCTGCGCCGGCTCTTGGGAAGCCCCGGATGTCTGAGCTGAGGTAGTTGGCCAGGGCAGGGTGGGGAATACATACCAGTATTGCCCCCCAGAATCCAGCAGGTACATCTCATCTGAAGACAGCTTCTGGTGCTGCTCCTTGGTCGGACTAGGAAGGGGAGAGCCACTGAGAAGGGGGCAGCCTAAGCCTGCACTGTGCAGGGTAGGGGGCCCTGAGTGGAAGCAGGGGAACCCCTCATCCCTTATTTCCCTAAGGGCCCTGGGGGAGTACTCGGTTGATGCCGCAAACGTACTCAGTGCACAACTGTTGATCTGGTACCTCACCGAGCAAGGATCCCAGGAAGGGGAGAAAGGAAGGAGCCCGGAATGCGGGAGCCTGGAGAGCCTCAGAGAGCATCCAAGGCTGCCATCTCCCCCTACGTAAGGAGCCGCAGGCCTGCAGAGGCTCGGGGGCTTGTAGGGGGCTGTGTGGTAAAGCTGGGAAGGAGCTGGGCCTGGACCCAGATGCTCAATCCAGTGCTCTCTCTCTAACTTTCTGTGGCCCCTGAGAGCAGAGGGCCCTGAGAAGCCAAGACACAGGAAGGGGAAGGGGGGTCCTCGAGGGTGGGGCTGGAGAGCAAGAGTTGGTAGGGCCAAGGAGTTCCTCCCCTGCTACTCTCTAGGAGGCAAAACGGGCTGGGCCAATGCAGCTGTAGGCTTGGGAGACTCTAGGGGAGGGAATTCTGGGAGAGGCCAGGCTGGCCCATGGAGGGCGTCTGATCTCCTCCTGCTGTGCTTGTGCCAGGCTGAGGCATTCTGGTCAGCTTGGGTCCCCAACTTCCATCAGGCAGGCCTGCAGGTGTTTGTTTTCTATGGAGCCAAACATCTGGTTAGCCCACCTCTGGGCCCACCTTCGTTGGCCCAGGCTGAGTAAACAGGCCTTTCTCCCTGTGTATTCGAGAGCTTTAAGAATTAGCTAATATAAATAACTCACAGGAAGCCAAGGAAAACCAACAGCAGCCCTGCCTCCCTTCCAGATCCCTCAGCCCTGTGTGCTCACAAAGTCTCAGCCTTTTGTGGTAGAAAACTGCTTGGGCCTTTTCATTTCCAGAAGACTCCTGATCCCTGACTGAGCTCTATTGCCCACCAGTAGCCCCCACAGTACTGAAGGCCTCAGACCTTACATGTGGACTTGGGTCCCCGAGCATTCCCTCCTTCACACCCCCTACCCCCCTGCACATACCCCAGGATCCTGCCCCACAGGGCCCTAGAAGATTCCTTCTCCTGAAGTACCTGTAGTGGGCCAAGGCAGCGTTCAGGCCACTAGCAGAGATGGTTTCGAAACTGGGTCCTGAGGAGAATTCTTCCTCTCTAGAAAGTACAAGGCAGGAACGGTCAACAGATGGGCTCAGAAGCTAGGCTGGGCCCAGGATATCGAACCAGGGCAAATGAAGGTCATGGCTGCCTCTACCTCAGCCAGACTCCGTTTGGCGCTCCCAGCGCCACCTCCCGGTGCCATGTTCCCAGGCTCCAGTCTGTTGGTGACGGAGCCTTCAAGGTCAGAGAAGGAGGGACTGTAGACACCAATTATCCCCCTCCACCTCCATTTCTCAGATGGGGAAGCCAAGGCCCATTGTCCCACAGCAAGTTCGTGGTAAAGCCAGAGTAAAGAAACCTAACTCCTCGTGTCTGAAAGCTTCCCCAGCCCCAGAGCAGCATCCTGCGCCTCAAACCTACACTATGCTTATGGCCTGGGCCAAGCGTGCCCTCCGGGAACGTCCCTCCCCAACTTGGTATTTTCAAGTGGTCCAGGAGCCCCACTTGGCCTGACCCAGCCTCCACGCAACCCCCCCCCCTCCGAGAGAGGGTCTGTGCCTGAAGCAGACACTAGGGGGCACTGATGGGTTGTGGCCCTTCTAGTTGTCCCGCTTTCAGCAGGGGGCCGGGGACTGTCGCGGAACACGCGCTGTCCAGCTGCCCTACTACCCAAGGACCTATTACTCCTTGTTCCAGAGAGCCCCCCCCGCGCCCCGCAATACAAGGAGGTGATTCTTCACCCGCGGAACTGGTCCAGCAGCTCTGCCCCTGAGAACTCATCCACCGTGCCCTTGGGCACGTTCTTCTCCAGCCAGACCAAGTAGCGGATCACAGCCACCGCGTCCCGTACCTGAGCAGGCGAGCAGGGCAGAGGGGCGGGCTGAGTGCTCGCAGCCGGGGCTCCGGGATCAAGGGGATCAGCTGGCTGCCCCGGGAGCTGAGCTCCACACACTCGAGGGTGTCCCCGACTGTTTGATGATGTTAAGGGATTCTTGGGCAAGTTTATATATATGATCATAATGTGGTTAGGTTTTGAAGAGTTCTTATCTTTCAGAGATACTTACTGAAGTGCTATCTTTTAGAGATGCTAAAGTGTCGACAGAAGAAACCTTCTGATACCTGGGATTTGCTTTAAAACCATCCAGCGACAGAGGCTGGGCGTGTAGGCAAGGAATGTGGCCTTACGTGGGCCAACCGGCCACAAGCCGCAAAGCGAGTGAGGGGGCGGGCGATCATTAGGCTGGTTTCTCTACTTTCGTATATGTTTACACTTTTCTATAAGAAAAAGTTTGGTAAAGTGAGGCGATTTCTTCTCGTTTCAACAGGAATATCCAAAAGAGCAAGCCATCCTCTTGCCAGGGTGGGGAAATCAGGACAGCAAACACTTACTTAACACTTGGAATGTGCCAGGCAGTGATCAAAGCAATATGTGTATATATATATATATATAATTCAATATGATTATACTTACATAAGTATATAATTCTGTTTATATGTATATAGTTATATATTTATAAACTCATTATATACTTATATAAGTACATAT